CCCCCCCAACTTTTTTTTTTTTTTTTTTTGGTAACCAGAACAGCATAAGTACATAACAAACCAGTTAATAGTCCCTTATTGTTTCAAATATGAGAACTTCCTTTTGTTGGAGATAAATGAAGACTGAGAACACTTTCCTGAGATAGCCACAGTAAAGATCTAGGAAACATGAATGTTTATGCCAACAAGAATACAAAATCAAATATAAAAGTTGCAGAATCGTGAGCCAGTTGATTCAAAAAAGGTGTACTCTTTTGAAGGGGCAATGAATACCTATAGGGAGCTCTTATCAAGAGGTGTATTAGAGGGGGAAATGACTCAATCCAGAAAGTATGCACCATGGTTTTGGGATCAATGAGATTGTTGGTTGTCTAAGTGGTTTATCCTGGAAGGACCTCTGTATAATAATCTTATTGTAAAAAGGTGAACTCAGAAGATACTTGTGCAAATTCACTGTCCACTAGGCAGTTTCTGCTAGACATGTTCTAGGTGTATTTTAGTAAATAGTAGTTAAAAATTTAGTAAAACTATTGTTTACCTACAAATTTCTCACTTGCTTTTTGTATGGAGATTGTGGCACATATGATTTAATCTTAAACACATGATTCCTGTGGAGAAGAAATATGGGAGAAAACAATATGTTTGATCAATCAATAGGCCTCAGAATAAGTCTCCCGATTGACTTATATTACATGGTTTTAGTTAAAATAATGTTTTTGTTTCAAGAGGATGGAGCAGTTGCCTCTCCCGACATAGGAGATATGTCTCCTGAAGGACCTCAGCCTCCCATGATTCTTTTACAGCAACTTTTGACAGCTGCTACGCAACCATCACCTGTGAAAGCAATATTTGACAAACAAGAGCTTGAGGTAGAGTCTGTGTTTTCTGCTAATAAGTAACCTAATAATAAGTCTTTTTAATTCACATTCCAGTTGAAACTTGTTAAGCTATAGGTTTAAAAAAAAAAAGTGACACTGAACACTTCTTGGCCAATAACTTTTAATTTCAGGCACACACACACAAAAAAACCCATACCAAATATGCTTGTTTTACTTGGACTGATTTATTTGTTCTCATTTAGGCTGCTGCTTTGGCAGTATGCCAGTATCTGGCTGTGGAGTCTACACATCCTTCAACTCCAGTGTTTGAAGACTGCAGCTCTAGTGAAGCTACAACACCCATCACAGTGCAACATATCCGACCCACAAAAGTGAAGAAACGCAAGCAATCTCCAATTCCACCCCTCCCCATTGTAGTTCAACTTATGGAAATGGGATTTCCTAGGAAAAACATAGAATTTGCACTAAAATCTCTGTCTGGAACCTCTGGAAGTGCTTCTGGATTACCAGGTATTTCATTTAGTTAAATTAATGATGTTAGAAGGAGAAGGAAAGTTGCGAGCAGATTAAAATTGTTACTTTTCTTTTTTGGATACTATCTTAAGAATGTCAGAGAATCCCTTAGAGACAGACCGAGTTTGTTTTCTGTATTAGGAGTGGAAGCCTTGGTTGGCTGGTTGTTGGATCACCCTGATGTTCAAATTACGGATCTTTCTGATGCTGATACTATCTCTGATGAATATTCAGATGAGGAAATGGCAGAGGAGGTGGAAGAAGCTGAAGCCGCTTGCCCTGTGGTAAGTATCAGCTTACAAAAACCTAAGTCATGCTAGCTGGCTGCAAATTTTGTAATTCTTTCCTTTTATGAACTTGGTTAGAATACAAGGATGTTCTGCTGTCCCAAGCTTTCAAGACTCTAACAAGGACCATGTTTGCCATATGTTTCTAAGGCATGTCATAAAAGAACTCAAGAATAATCTATAAATATTTATGTATGAGTAGCACAAGGGAAGAGTGGAATGCAGGTAGATGTTTCACTAGTGGTAGCTATGCGTATCCCTGATAGTTGGTCTCAATTTCATATAAAATAGTCAATGCTATGGTGTAATATTTGTAAAGGACTCCTTTTTTTTTTTTTTTATTTTTTTTTTTTTTTT